ATTGTCCAAGACCATGGCAGGGGCAGTGAGTACCATGCGTCCAAAGCATAGGGTAAGGCAGAGTAAGCCCCTAATGCATGCATGGTGTCAGGTTTTGATTTCCAATATCTCACATGTTATTGATGTCCATAATGACGTTCAGTTTCTTCATCAATTTTGAGGACATGATATTGACTGGGACACCAGTACCTTGGACTGCCAGTACACGTACATACTGTATCACAACTTCCACTTAGGTTACCCTCTTCCCAAATAGATTTCCAGTTGACAGCACATCAACAGCTGTCTTTTCAAATTCCTCTGATTGCTTGGATGTATTAAATTTTAATTTGGCGTGCAGTGTAGTAGTATTCTCAATATTCTTGAAGGTGTCAATTACAAGTTGTTCGCCTACCTCAAGACTATTGACTTCTAGAGTGGGCTTCATTGCTTGAGCTAGGTATGTAGAGTTCAACCCTAATTGGTTGATCCATGTACCCATAATTGTGCAGGTACAGATACAGTATCTGAGGGATCCTAAGTCATGGTAACTGACATCCATCAAGTCCTCATCTTGTTGATCATCCTCTCCTTCCACGTTTAGGTTCACCCAAATTACAGTTCCAGGGGTTTTCTATTTTGGTGAAGGGGTTTTTCTTCATTGCATTTCATCAGAAAAGATTGTTAATAGTGACCAAGCTTGTGACATTTGTGGCACGTGACCTCCTTGCGCTGATACCATGAAACTGGTTTAAAGTTTTTTCTTTTGGATTGTCACTCTTGTCCTGTGTAGCATACACTGTTTATCCAACTCTATGTGTCGGTTAAGTCATTAGTTTGTTTTCAATCTTATAAGTTCCTTGCTCATTAAGTAAATCTTCCTTGATGGACTTGAGAGATCCAGCCGTTTTGACCACAAGCGTCATGTTCACCCTAAGGGCTGAGTGAGCTTCTAAGAAACTGAGTAGGACAGTATTCTCAGTAGGTAAGTCTAACGTCTCTGTTGTCCATAGGTGTTGTGCTTAAAGGTAGTATCAAGCGAAATAGTTTGTGACTGTCTCCGTTTTTCCCATTTTCCTCAATATGAACTCTTGCTTCATATTCTCAACATCCTGTGCGCTACAGAATTCTGATAACAGGATTTTCTTGACCTCAGTCCAGATCAAACCAGGGTGTAAACTAGCGCTTAGTATATCCTGCGCCTTTTGGCACATGCGTCTTTGGATTTGACAAGCCTTCTGCTTATCACTAGCATCATCCATGCTGTTCTTGTACAATTGTAAAAACACAGCTATTGTTCCCTCACCAGAAGTAAACATGGTTTATTCTATCTTATAAAGTTCAGATCTTCCTCTACTGGAGCGTTTCACTGATGTTGTGGAGATGTTGCGCCCTGCGCAGCTTACACAGGCGTTTCCAAACGTGAGGTCTCTATTATGGGTCTTAGAACAGGCTGTGGTTTTACTTAAAGTTGATCCTTAATTTCCTCCAAGTTTTGATCAATGTCATCTAAAACAGTCTTTGGTGGTCTAAGCGTTCACAATACTCATTCAATTTTTGCACATTTATTCCATTTTCTGATTCAATGGTTGGACCCATTCCCTGAGTTCCTTCAGATTAGTTTCAATTTTTCTAGTCTCTGGTATGTGCACTAACAATGGGGTAGTAGCCACTCAAGCTCATCAAGCGGCATCTGAAACCAAATTTAAGTACAACCTCAACTCCACTACTTTTTTCTAACATGTGCAGCCTTGCCTCAATCATCTCTTTTTCATTTGGAGATAGGCTTCCTGCTGCTTTTTCACCATGGTATACTACAAGGTCTGGATACTAGGAATTTCTGTTTGCCCTGAATTCTCTCTTCTCAACTGTGTGGTTGGTGTCACCCTGTAGGGAGAACCGGTCTCGCCACCTTGGGTTCTGCTCACTTAACTCTGGGGATTTTGAACTTGAGGCGTCAAAAGGGGTAATCTGTTGCACAGATTTGACACTAACAAGCTAGGCTTAAACTTCCTGAGAGAGCTGTAAACTTGACACTTGCACGCCAACAGTGCGCCTTCTTTAAGATTAATCCTGTGTACGTTGCAATCTTCCCCTGACCCAACAGAGCTTATCTCAAACTCTTTCCTTGAAAGCCTAACCTTTATAAGGAGTCCTCTTTAAAATGAGTGTCTTCAACTGTAGTGCACTCAAGATTGGTTACTTGCAGTCAATACTTTTCACTTATTTCCAGTTAAAATGAAAAACCAAATGAAGGACAAACTTAAATTTCTGTGAAATAAACTGTTTATTTAAGATAAAAATTTAATATTTTTTACTTAATACTAAAAATTGTGATGTAAAATAATAAATTGAGTGATAAATTGAATAGTGGATTGGGAAAATATTAAATATTCTCCAGAAACTTCAGTGCAGTCTCTTTTTTAATCAATTTTTTTTCTTGGGCAATCATTTTCTCAAGGTTCTGAATTCGTGCATTGCAGCAGTGTGTGGAGCATGCAGTATCAGGGTCATCAGCTCTATGGCTCCTGTGCCCTTTGGTGGAGTCCAAATTTTCATTACTATTGGTGGACTTTAATTCCTGGTTTCTTGATGGCACCATTTTTCTTTCTTTTTGATTGTCTACCTTTATGACTTTACTTAAATTACATCCTTTTTGGGAGCATATCACATTTGAAGTTTTTTGTTGCTGTTTTGCATCTCTGATGATTATATTGTCTGCCTTTTTTATGTGACATTATTGCTATCACCATTTTCATGGCCAATTTGATTTGTAATATTACCATTTTTTGAGCTAGATTCATTTCATGTTAATAATTTTTGCGCTTTGATCATATTTTTTTCAATTCTGCCAGAGATTGAGGAGTTACTAATTATGAGGTGTGCTGAATCTGCAACAGGCTCCTCTGGTCTAACATCTACAGTGATAGCACAGGCCATTTCTCCTCCATACTCTACCTGGTACTCAGAAATTGTCAATGGCTACTCAAATTCAGGATGATATTGTTTGTCATGTATGTAGTGACTGGAAGAGGTGAAACTATACATTTAGAGATGTTCTGGGTTACCTTACACTATAAAGCATCAATTTCTTAGTTATATATAGATTTATCAGAAATGGAACCACCTTTAAATTTTTAACAAGGGGAGAAATATCACCTTTAAAGTTTAAAAATACTATGAGATGTAGTTCACCTTGCTAGCTTTTGGGGAGGTACTGGAGGAAAAATATTAAGGTTCATAGGTGAATATAGGGAGAGGAAATTTTGTTTTTAATTACATTGGCTGAACCAACCTATAATAAATAAGAAAATAACTATCAAATTACCAACAATATACAAACAAGGGGCTTTTAATCATATTCCACAGTCACAACCATTCCCGAATAGTGATCCTTTAGGTTTATATGCATTTAGTTGTTGCTCCCGCCACGCCAGATAAAGATGTAAAGAGGAGGAAAAGTTGAGGATAAGATTCACAGATGCAATCAGCAAGTAACAAGCTATTGAAACAGCTGCAATAAAGTATTCAAAAAAATAAGCTTCTAACAGGAACTTTTATAATTGTACCCGCTTCTTATTATGAGCCCTGACAGATTGTGGCAAGACTAAATTTTATACCCTGGACCCTAGAAACTATGCACCTGATGCCATGCCCTGAAGAGAGGAGTGGAGTCTCACCATGAGCTGTAGCAGTAGAAAAATCCACCTCGCCACAATTGGGCCATATCATGAATCCCTTTAGTGTTTCCTCAACTACCAACTCTCTCTAACTAGTTACTTCCTATGAATTTCAAAAGTATAATGGGTGCCCATAAATAACCTCTTTTGAAGTTAAAGAGTTAGAGGGAAACCTTAACTCAACTTTTAAAGGGGTACGGCAGAAAGACCATATGATCAAGAGCTTCATATCAGAACCAAAGCATACAATTTCATTTTTAGTATATACTTTGATGGCAATGATGACAGTATGAGAGACATCTGTCATAGCATCTATCTAGGTGTTAAGTTTGAACTGGTAGGCCAACTGCAGAAGCTGTTGTATGTTTAAACTATTATATTATGTATTTTGAAACAAACTTTTAGTATGTTACTCAGGATCAGAGTCTTAAAAGTGGTGATTAGTTAGAATAGGAAGCTTTCTTGAGAGCACCAAGGCCACTTTGATACCTATACCAAAAAAGAAGGTATAATACTTGAAATTTTATAAGGCTTTTGAAAGAGGGGGCATTGTGGTCCACAGCAGAGACAGCAGAGTGATATTGGTTAGCAAGGCGCACCATGATTATAACCATTTTAGGTACCCTCTGATGTTCTGGCATGGAAAAGTTTATTATATTAACATCGCTCAGTACAATTCTATGACCATGGCGCCTCTCAAGAAACTGTGCCTGATGATAACTTTTACAGCTACAGGATAATGAGTCTGATGTGAAGTATACATTTCTATTTGTTTTTATCTTACAAAAAAATTTTGGCCGATATGTTGACAAAAAAGAAAAACTTAAAGGTACAACTTGAAACATTAAATCATGATAAGTTGTGAAGTGAGGAGTATGTGAACCTGATGGTGCCATTAAAAAGCTAATAGAAAGGTATAAGAGCTTGAAAAAATCTTTGGTTGCCATCATTTTTCATTGGGGGACCCACTATATTCACAATTAACTCAAGATGCTATGACTTATATGTGCCATCTTGGATGGCCTGATCTTTTGATTGCTTTATCTTCAATCTGATATGGTCTTATGTTGATGAGCTCTTAAATAAAAGTGAACAAACTAAGATAGGCATGAAGAATAGGGCAGATCTTCAACAAAAAAGCTAATGGTTGCTTTTCACACCAAAAGATACATCTGGCCTTACCTGGTGCCATATGCATTCTGTAGAATGGCAGAAAATTTTTTCCACGCTCATAGCCTCCTGTGGGTGGAAGACAAGGTAAGTTTAAGGATTGGGGAGCCCAGTTTTCTTTGTTGACCACTACATGGTTCCAAGGAATCACCCAATGCACCAAAAACAAAAGATCTTAAGGCACAATGGATAAGGCGTGAGTCTACAAAATTCAAGATTCCAGGTTCAATCACTGGCAAGATCGTTTTTTAAAAAAATGCATCAAAAACAAGATTAAAATGGTCTCAGAGCCATCCAGTTGACAATGGGAGAACTATATTTGTGGATGCTTTATTATGGCATCAATGAGCCCCATGTTGCACAGAAATACTGAAACATGACAATGAACCACGAAAAATGGGGAAAGATTACTTTATTTTAACAAAACAATTATTCAAAACAAAATAGGCTAGTACCATCACAGTTAAGGGCACTGGCTATATATAAGGAATGTGGTTTGGTTACTACGCTGTTCTTAGGGGGCAGAAGCTCTTATATTGACATCTTTTAAGCTGCTTATTTTTCCTAAGTTTCACAGATGTGAGGAGAGGGTCAGATTGTGAATCATTGCTAGAACTGAGATTGGAAGAGGTAATGGGGCATGCCATAAATGGATGCTCCCCATTTTTAAATTTCTTACACTTTTTTGATAATTTCCCAGATTGAGTCACTTCTTCCTCAGAGTTCCAGAGCTTGAACAATCGCAAACTATATAAAAAATAGGAAAGGGAACTCAGGGAAATAAATAGGGGGTGAAATTGGGGTCAGAATTTTAATGTTCCTTGGCAAAATAGGATATTTTTTATAAATGATGTAATATTAAAGCCATTGATAATTTAAAAAGTCTGAAATTTTAGAAAAAAGGGGACGTTATTATTGAGGGACTTACTTGAAGTGTTTTTGACATCTTGATATTATGAGGGATTCTAAACACAGGGTCTCATTACCTTCAACATAGTGAATACTAGGAAGCTTAGAAGTACGAGTAGACACAAATTAGAATTTTACAAAATAAAAAACAGCCGTTTCCACTTTAAAAGGGTTAGTAGGCACTATTTGGCTTATTGACCTTTGTGGAAAGCCTAACATTAACTTTCTTTATTTGCCAACTGTTGGGATTTTTGCCCATATTCCCAGCCTGCTAAATTACCAGGAATCGCTAGGGGAAAATTCCCTAAGGCTAAGTGAATTGGAAATTGGTTGCCCTGAGTTTTGGAGTAACTATATTCAGGAAATTTTGGGAAAAGAACCTGGTTATATCCATTGGGGATCAATCTGGATAAATACTTAGGATCTCATCAGGCGGAGTTGCCAACAAAATAGGGGCATCTGATAGTGATTAACTATCAGGTGTACAAATTTGTGATTGGTCAGGTTTCATCACAGACTGATTGGGAATGAATAGCAAGTTGCAAGGTGAGTGATGCAACCTGCAACTAGCAAATTGATCAGTTGGTGCGTGACCTGCCTTAATGGGTAATAAGTCACATTACCTAAGCAGGTCACTAGCCAAATATGGTTGGTTTGCTTGGATTGAGAGGAAATGTTAGGGACACGTTTTCTGACTTTTTCCATTTAGGTCTCAAGGATGTCCAATGATGGAATCCTAGCCAGGATGGGGAAGACCATCGCTGCCAAGATGAGGATGGGTGATTTAACAGCAACGGCTGCCATATCATCAAAGAGGTGTCAACTGAGGGTTTGATGATTGAATCCTCACTATAAATTCCCTAGGATTCACTATTATAAAAAAGGAGTAATCATGAGAACAGAGTTATATAGTTCTAAGTTATTCATTTAGTATATAGTTTAAAGTTTAAACTATCATCAGCTTCCATTGTGCTATTCTTCTCAAGGTAGTATTGCTGTGTGCAATAATTGGAAGACTCTTAAGAGAAAAGAGTAAAGATTTATGAGGAGATATAGAGAAGAAGGAGACATAATTGGGGATTGCTGCTGACTGTGTGTTGGACTGAAGAGACTGTCACCAGGGAATCTCAGCAAATATTGGGTTGGACAGAACAAAAGAACAAATCCCTACAATTATGATATCACAAACAATTAATTGAGAAATACTGGCCGAGCGTTGGGCCAAAATATAAGAATTCACACTCAACTATGGATAATAGTCGCCATACTATTAAAAAACAATAATCTATTATACTATACAATGCGACGAAGTGCATGAGGAACCCAAACCTGTGCAGTAAAAAACTACTAGAGTTGTTTGCCAATAAATAACCTTAAAGTAAATTTTTTCAAGTTGGTGCTCACTACAGGGGGTAGAAGAGTTAAAGAATTAATAAGAATGTCATATAAAGACGAGTTATGCAAACTGTGGACCAAGTTAGCCATTGTGAACCAGAATGCCCTAAACTCAGTGGACCATTAGGAATTTGTGGCCTTGGAAGATTGAATCGCCAAGATGGAGGAAGGGATAGATAATGTTCCAAGCTTTGGGAACGAGTTACTTAGGAAAGTAACTTCGTTGTAGAAGAAATAAGGAGACCTCGTTTAAGAGGTCTTATATCTGAAAACAGAGCGATAATTGAATTGCATTTGTTTGAGAAAATTTTGGTGCAGATATAGAGCGATTAATCAAACAGGTGGAGGAACTTATAGCTCACAAATGTGCTTGTGAGCCCAATATGGCAAGCGATGCTGAAGAAAGAAGTCCTCACACAATATTTGGGAAGACAAATACCATAAGGAATATGCCGCCCGCTTTTGTTGCCATTTTGGAGATGACAGCCAAAGTCAAACCTTAAGTTAGCCGAGTGGCTGAACCAAGAGATTTGGTCAGAAATAACTCAGAGGAATTTAAGGCAACGCCAAAATTGCCAACGTTCCATCAGGATAACGCCCCAGCGTTTTTCTGACTGTTTGACATGACCATGTATGGCTATGGGGATCTTCAAAAGGCGTTGACGGTCATGAATTGCCTAGATACTGACTGTCAGAACTTTGTGTTACCTCACCTGGAGGAAGACAGCTGGTCGTATGCTGAGGCAAAGGCAGCCATCATGAAAGAGTTCAGGAGTCTGACGTGCATGTAAAAGTGCAAACAGGAATTTATGGGAATCCAGTTCCATAAAGATGAGTCTCTAGCTAGCTTTGCAGATCAGATTTACCATGAGTCATGGATCCTGGTTGGAGCAAAAGTATTGGATGACTTTGATTCCAGAATTGCCTTGCAAGCAGCCCTTTGGCCCTATCACAATCTGCATCACATGATGTCTTCCATGTTTGTGACAGAAATAACTACCTTGCAAATGGTAAATAATTTATAGATTTTGGAGTGACATTTAATGCCCCAAATAGAAGCTTCAAATTTAATCCAGTATGCAATCTGAGTCCCCAAAGGGAAACAAAGGAGTTAAAGAGATGACTAAATAAACCATGCCAGGGAATAAGCCCAAAGAATTCAGAAAGTTGAATAAGAAGGAAAAGGTCTGTTACCAATGTGGCGGGAAAGGACATTTTGCCGTGCACTGTAAGAAGCTGAAGGATCAGATCAACGTGGTCCAGGTGAAAGAGTCAGCAGCTACCAATGAATTGGGAAAAGGGCCCGTGGCCTAGCAGAGGAACAGTCTAGAGCTGCGGAGAAGCTTGTTCCTCCCAACATTATTATTGAAGGAATTAATATCAGTGATCTATTCATAGATGATGAACAGGATCTGCTGTATCAAGTGATCGATTTGGATGTAAATCCGTGCCCAGAGCTAGGGCAAAGAGAATTGACCCCAAGATAATCAAGGTAGTTGCCCAGCTGTATGCATGACAACTGGCGGACAATATTCAAACTGCTGAGAATCCTGAAGAATTACCTGAAGTCTAATTAAATGAGGCCAATTTGTCAATCCCCCTCATCATAGTAAAAGAATCATTTCCTGATTTATCGGCGCAAATTATTCACACCCTCAATTTGGCTAATAATGCCACTATTCACTCAGTAAACACTATATTACAATACTCTAAGTGTATGTATATAGACATACAAGTGAATTGAGTAAGAGTGAGGGTAATTGTTGACAGCGGAGTGCCCATCAATATTGTCTTGACCAAGCTGGTAAAGAGTATAAAGATTTCACCGGACTTGGAACATAAGAAGGAATATGGGACAGCTGGGCTGAACACCACCATCTCCTGTAGAGCGTATAGCGTGTTGTCACTACAATTTGAGTCATTGGTGGTATCTGCACCAGCAATAGTTTTGGCCAACCAAAACTATGACATTCTTATTGGAATGAAGTTTATATGCAAATATGGAGTTAAATGTAACTTCAAGGATAATACGTTGACCATATTGGGTCAGACGTTATCATTGGTATATCAGAAGGATGGTGAAGCTCCACTGAATTGGAGAAACAACTTTATCATATAACATACAATTATGGCATTGTCCCAATTCAGTACCAATTAGTTGGTAGAAATTAATGAGAAATGCTGGCGGAAAACCTAGAGAACCAAGGAATTCCACTGAGGATTAAGAATGAGAGGACCATACCACCAGGATCACATATGATAGTCAACATAGGGTTGACGCTGGAGATTCCTGAGCTGTTGTATGGGAGGTCAAAAGCCCCTGGAAGAAGTCTATAGTGGAGCCTTGGGTGGCTCCTGGGATACTAATGCTGGGCCATGGAGAAATTCGAGTTCTCCTGGCGATTTTAAGTGAAAAACTGACGAAGATTAAGAGTAACTTAGATCATCACGTTTGTTCATCAGATCCTGACGGCCAAATTGAGGAGATTCCACAATTTTAGGGCTCTTAACAAGATGGGATTACTGGCTGGGTAGCCAAAAGTATCACCCTATTGGTTGATTAAGAGCAGCTCGCTGATCTGTCAGAAGGCCAGTAAGAGGAGGTGCTCAAACTATTCAAAAAGTATCAGGAAGTGTTCGCTCAGGATGACCACAATTTAGGTTGCCCACCAGACATGATCCACAAGGTCAACACCAGGAAAATTTGCTTATCAGGATGAGACCATTTTGACAGTTGAAGGCAGCTGAAGTGGCAGTGGAGGATAAAATAAGCAAACTAGTGAAGCATGGGCTTCTAGTTCCGTCATCAAGTCTCTGGGAGAGTCTGATTCTGATCATGAAGAAAAAGGATTGATCCAACTGGGTGGTGATTGACTACCGGAAGCTGAATAAATTTTATGAAGAAGGATTCATATCCCCTACCAAGGATCAATGATGCGC